TCATGTTTTCTGCAGCAATAATATTATTTCTGTTATCAGTTATATTTAAATATATAATTTTGTTTCTATAATATTTCCATAAAGTGTCTACAATAATTTAACTATATGATTATTATTATTATTATATATTATATATTATTTATTTCTAATTTTAAAAATATATGTTTCTATAATATTTATTATTTATATTATTGTTAGATAATAGTTCTGTAATATTTCCACAATATTTTGATATTATATATATTTATGATATATAATATTTTAGTGGGTTCAGGGCCACTTTAACCTGATTGGGGGCCCCTGTGAGGGCCCGTTGTTCTTGGCTCAATCACTGAAATAAATTTTGTTTCCAGGAATTAATAATAATAATAATAATAATAATAATAATTAATAATAATTTAAATAAATATCTGCTGTGATAGATGATTAGATGATTTTATACAATCGATGTGTTTATTATATCAGATAGATAAAATGATGTTTCACTTTGTTTACATTCTGGTTCGATGTGCCAATAATATTGTTTGATTATTATTAACAGTATTTGTATATATTCTATTATGTATGTGTGTAGTATTCTTGTACTCACAGTTTAAATGTACTCTAACTGTATTCAGACTCTTTAATGAAACATGTTGGATGTTTTTACAGTGTGTTCCTCTGCTGTAATCTATTGACGTTTTGTAATGGACTCCAGTATCATCCACAGAAACAGACACAGTGTAGTAACTGATCTGAGATCTGAGAAGAAATATTGATCCGTTTGTTTGTACACAGGACGTCCGTCCATCCGTCTGTCTCGTCATTTTATATCAGATGAAATAGTTTTTGTTCAGACTGCAGGTTGGAAATATTTATTTTATCATCAGAAGTTGCGAGTTCAGTTTTTTCTGTTTATTTCTGCAGTTTGACTCATTTTAGCTAAAATAACAACAAACAGTTCAATCAGTCCAGCATTATGTCAGGCACAATGCATGATGGGAAAATGTCCCGTTTTACTGATGTTTTAACTCTGTTTTTCTTTGATATTCTCTCATTTGGCTCAATGTCTGTCCGTCATGCGTCTTCAGTCCTTCAGTAGTAGGATGCGTTCAGGTTCAGTACTGAGTGTAGGCCACCTGGGGTTTGGGACTGACCAGTGAAAGGACCAGTGAGAGCCAGTGAGCGTTGCTTGATTTTGACTTTACGAATGCATAAAATAAACATGTTGTCTGTGTCTCTTGCAGCTGGTGGCCCAGGGTCAGTTCAGGGTGCTGAAGGTTCCTCTGGGCTTCATTAAGGCCTTAGAATGGGTGAGTTCATCAGACCAACACCGGCACCGCAAACACCTCCTCTGTCAGTTGGACAGCAGCGCTCTAAATCCGCTGCAGACATCCACCTAACATCAGAGTGATTGGAGACTCTATTCTCTATTCCATTCTGTCCTTCAGCAGCAGCCAACAATACAAACAATACAAACAATAAAAAATAAAAAATAAGATCAGTCTGTATGCAGACGACACATCGCTGTTCTTCCTAAATGTATCTCTCGTCTGAATGAACCTTACAATAATCTTCATGGGAAGAAAAGCTACTGTTGAACTCACCTTGTTAGACTCCAGCATCTCCAGGTTCTACTGAAATAACAAGGTCCAATGTGCTTCAGAAGCACCTGTTTCTGTTTCACCACTGTCAGATCAAATATTGCTTCATCCACTAGTTTTCACTGAAATGTTCCACAGTTTTAAATGTTTCTATCGTTTTCTAAAGTAACTGTTCACTCAAGAGATGAAGGTGGGAATTAGACTGACACCATTTTAATAACGTGGCTCAGCAGATCTGATGGTTTGTGGTTTGATAAACTGTTTGAGAAGGTTTTAAAGTTTTTAAAGTCCTAAAAACCTTCTGACAATGTTCTTGAAATATTAAAAAACACACAGATCAAACACTACATTACACACTGAGAGATTCACTGTAATGATTATTATCATTGTATGCTATACGCACACACACTCACACACACACACACACACACACAAACACACACACATTCAATTCAATTCAATTCAATTCAATTTTATTTGTATAGCGCCAATTCATAACAGAAGTTATCTCAGGACACTTTTCAAATAGAGCAGGTCTAGACCGAACTCTTTAAAACACACACACACACACACACACTCACACACACACACACACACACACACACTCACACACACACACACACACACACACACACACACTCACACACACACACACACACACACACACACACACACTCACACACACACACACACACACACACACACACACATACACTCACACACACACTCAAACTGAGCAGATGGTCACAGTTGGACTTTCTGTCCAATCCTTGCTTGGAGTGTGTGTCCCCTCTGTAACTGGCCTCTCCATGATAAATATGGTGATGATGATGGTGAAGATGATGGTGATGTTGATGATGATGATGATGATGAAGATGATGGTGATGATTGTGATGGTGATGATGATAATGGTGATGGTGTACTGTAGAGCAGCTGAGCAGGGCACTAACACAGTGAGGGTTGTCGGTTAGAGTCTGTACTCACTGCAGTCTCTATAGATAGATGTGATGATGTGATGATGACTCATCGTCCTGCAGGAGTTTCACTCTTCATCACTAAATAACACCTCCTCTGCCTCAGCACAACCACATTAACGCACACACAGGCAGGTTGGTCATTAGTCTTCATAACTTTAAATACAAAGTTATTTTCCTGCTTGATTACTTTTCTTTGAATCTCCTGAAATATTGATGTTGTGTCTGAAATATCTGCTGATTTAATCTCAATCAATCACGGTTATCAATATTTGATCATAAAAGCCCTCAAATGAAGAACTCACAAACATTACTGTGGCACATTAATAAAGCACTGAAGACGCGGCCTTCAATAAATCAATACATTGTTTTGTTTTTTTACTGAACTGAAGCCGATGAAGGAGTCTAAAATGAAGCCATAACACATCATTAAGTTAATTTTTGTTCTTTAACACGTTATTATTAAAATAATCTTAATGAATGAGTTACTGTTGAAGTTGCCAGCAAGTTGTGTTTACTGCTTATTAGCAAATGTTAGCATTCTAATGTGCTAAACTAAGATTGTGAACATGGTAAACGCTGCACCTGCTAAACATCAGTGTGTCAGAATTGTAACTGAGAGAATATAAGCATGCTGATGCTAGTTGTTGCTAATGTGTCTTTAGACGTCGGTTGATTAGATGTTTCTGCATTATTTCTTAAATTTTTGTTGTTCCTCCTCCAGTTTTTCGCCATCTTTGCCTTCTCCACCTGTGGCAGTTATTCTGGGATGTTCAAGATGTCGGTGGAGTGTAAGAACCGGACCGACAGCGACCTGAATATTGATGTGGACTTTGAGTATCCGTTCAGGTCAGTGGCTGGGGTGTAGCTGGGTGGCTAACCGTAGCTTGCTTGCTAACTTTATCGTTTGCAAAATAGTATCTTAGTTGATATGTTAGTTGGCTAATGTTAGCTTCCCCAGCCAACGTGATCTATGATACTAACTTTCATTCCGTCTCATGTATGTATGTCTGTTTTGGCTGATGCCTTTGATTTTGCAAACTCTGCAGTTAGCTTAACACCACTAGCTACTCCAGAACTGTCTCTCTGACACCAGTAAGGCTCCCACAAAATTAGAGTAAGACCGACAAACTTTGAGTTGTTAATGTCGCTAAACTTCCTGTCCCTCTTTCAGACTCCACCAGGTGTACTTCGATGCGCCCACCTGTAACGGGGGAGAAAAGGAGCGTCTCTTCCTGATTGGCGACTACTCCTCCTCGGCTGAGTTCTTCGTCACCATCGGCGTCTTTGCCTTCCTCTACTCCACGGCGGCTCTAAGCATCTACATCTTCTTCTTCGAGAAGTACAAGGAGAACAACAAAGGTCCCCTGATTGTAAGTTTACACACCTGGCTGCGTTGCTCACAGGTGAATTGTGGGAAATGCGGCTCATAGACTGTGTTTGTGTGTTTAGGACCTGGGTGTGACCGGAGTGTTCGCCTTCATGTGGCTGGTGAGTTCGGCGGCCTGGGCCAAAGGTCTGTCCGACGTGAAGACAGCGACTGACCCAGGGAAAGTGGTCACTCTGATCTCCGCCTGCAATGCTGAAGTGAACCGCTGCCGTGAAGTCCACGACCCGGTCATGTCCGGACTCAACACCTCTGTGGTAAGACCATGACCAAAGACATGTCCAATCTGTGAGGACACTACTGAGGACGAGTTCCAAGATACTCCTTAACTGCAAAAACAGCCAAATATTCTTCAATATAATCACATTTTCTTGTCTTCTGCCAATGGGGTCAGACAGTTCTGCTTGACTAGAATTCTTACAACAAACAACAAACAAACCAGCCACTAAAAGACTGTAATGGAACTTAAAACTAGAAAAAATGCCAAAAATGTAAGCAAAAGCATCACAAACAATGAAAACTCTGTTTTAAGATATTTAGTATTTTGGTCACTTTATTGAGCTGAATTTAAGAATTTGTACCTCAATCTAAGATAATAATAAGATAATAATTAGCAAAATCTTACAATAAGACACAATTTCTTCAGAAAGCATAAAAAAGTGACTAATGGATATTATGCAACTATTGTTGTTACTGGTTAAATCGAGCTCAATATTAGCTGGAATATCTTATTAAGACAACGCTAGATTTTATTAAAACCCGATTACTTGTCTAATGTACCTTGACAAGATTATTTTTCTTTATAGACAAAAAAACAAGACTAATTTCCCAGAAACAAGACTTTTACTACTTTTACTTTCTTGAGATTCCTGTTTTGCAGTGTTCTGTTTTGGCAGTAATTTGGAACCAAGGTCTCAGATGTCAGTCTATGGTGTCAGGTAAAGGGTAATCTGATATTGATATCCAAATTCCCCGATAATTCCTAAAATGAGGTATCAGTATCAGCGAGTATGTGCACTGATCTGACACCACGTGGACCCTGTTACTTCCCAGCAGTGTACCTGAGCTAGGACATACAGACATTACAGCTGTACCGGATTAATAGTATATGCTTGTTCAAAATAATAATATATGCATTTTTTATCACAGTTGTATGGGCCAATACGCAAAGTTCGGGTATCAGAATCTGTATCAGGAAGGAAAACATGCATTGGAGAAACAGTGATTTTTAGGCCACTCAGGTATAGATATTGATATAGATACTCAGGTATCTGTTTATCTGACTGATAATGAATCTAGTAATGAGTCCCTTCATCCTCTCCTCTTCCAGGCTTTTGGTTTTATCAACCTGATCCTGTGGGTGGGAAACCTCTGGTTCGTCTTTAAGGAGACAGGCATCATTGCTCCCTTCATGCGAGCTCCACCTCCTCAGGAGAAACCTGCCGCACCAGAAGCCTACGGTCAGCAAGGGGCATACGAACAAGATCCCTACGCCAGCAACCAAGGAGGCTACCAACCTGACTACAACCAGCAAGGATACAACCAGGTGATCTGCTGAACTGCTAATACTCAAATGGGACCAAGAAAGGTGTCAGTACCCCAATTCAGCACAACAACAATAACATACCATACCAACCCTAACCCCAACCCCCAAGTCTAGGATGTAACCTAGCTTAGCAGTAAGACTGGAAACAAAGAGGAACCGCTAGCGCCATCTATACAGTGAAAAAAAAACAAATTTCACCTTCTAACAACTCTTCAAAAAACTACAAAAAATGTCTTAGAGAAAGCAAAAAACTGCACCAACAGTTAAAACAGCAAATAATTCAGATTAGACAGCTAACGATTAGTTTCCTTATCAATCAAGCCTCCGATTATTTTCTTGATTGATTGGTCAAAAACTCTCTCTGTCACAGTTTCCCAATTGTTCAAATACTTCTGAAAGCCAATAATGACTCTGAAACATTGCTCAGTTCTGTTCAGTAAACCAGAGATTGTTTTATTTTTGCTTAAAGGGTAAACTCAAGTGTACCAATAATATTAATTAAGGCTCTGATCCATTTAGTGTAGCAATGAGTCTTTCCAAACTGAATGGAATCAATGATAACACCTACTGTGAAAAAGGTCTATTAATGTTGCAAAACTTGCCAATTAAATTTCTCTGAATTGACTGTTTGAACTCTCAGACAGAGTGTACTGTGTAGTATTAGTATAGTATTATAAATCCACAGTGTTACTCTGTACTTCCAGATTGCAGTACTTTCAGTCTGTATACTGCAGTACTTTCAGTCTGTCTGCTGTTGTGTCTCCTCCAGGATGCAGAGTACGGTCAGGGCTACGGCCAGCAGGCAGCGCCCACTTCCTTCTCCAATCAGATGTGAACTGACAGTAAGCAGGTGAGTCACACAGGAAGCAGAGACTAGAGTGGCTTCCTGATTGGCCAGTTAAGTTCATGAAATTCACTTTAAATTATATTTTTCTTCGTGTTCAGACTGTGAATCTTCTCCATTGTGTATTAAAAGCTTGTTCATGTTCCTTCCTTATAAACAAACACTGTAGTTTATTTGAACTCCGTCCTGCTGCCACAAATAACACTACAACACCAAATGTGGATTCCTCCGCCGCTGAAAATAGTCCTCAACAAATTTCCTCCTGCTTGTTTGATAAAAACTTCAGATTTTTAAAACATGAAACTTCATATTTGTGAGATCTTCAGTAGGAACCAATGAGCTTTGAGCTGAGACCCACAGACAGGAAGTCAACAAGAACAAGATTAGTAGTCCAGAACTACATAACTTCATTATAAAGCTGTAAACATTTTACCGTTATCAACAAATTTCAGCATCTGTGATTCACATGTTGCACTTTGCCATATTTCAATTGCAGTAATATTTTGAATATTTGTGTAGCTGTAAATAATCATCAGTAATTGAACAGTGACAGGCGTTAGCGTTGGTTCAGGGGGCTCACTGAACCCCCTACCGGCCGTAGCCAAAAATACATGTAGGGATTTATGCAGTTGTTTACTTGTTTATGTATTAAAAATGTTGATTTAAACTCAGATATTATGAACTACTTAAATAATGATTCACATTATGAAGAAAGGAAAAATAATTTTTAACAGAAAGTAGTACAAGCCAGCTCCTAAATAGAGAGAGGTTTTGGGTTTTGGTCGGCCTAATAATCATGGAGATTCCTGTTATGATGTTTCCTAATATTAAATAATGATCGATAATTATGTAGTCTGGATTTATAGATTTGTCTTAACCTTGGTTATGAGTTATTAGTTATGTTTGAAGTGATGGTATTTGTGTACATTTTTCTGACTCGACTCTGCTCAGAACATTTGAACCACGGTAGAAACTTATTTGTGTAATCCTCGACATTTACAGTGAATGTGTATGTGACGCAGTGTATGACGTAGTGCAGAGGTCAGCAGCCTTTACTATCATAAGAGTCATTTTTCTGCCTGGACCCACAAAACATATTTGAGCCTTTTATGTAACGCTGCTTTCTTGACACAGAGCGGGCGTACCAATAAGCCAGCAGTGTTTGTGGTGGAAGTAAATAAATCTGTTCACACACAATTCAATTCTTTGTTTCCCTCCAAACCTGCTGGGGAGACTCAAGACTAGCAGCTGTTGAGGTTCAGCAAATATATCGAGGAAAGGCGCCATGTCAGGATATAACGTATGACACACATTTCACTTTCTTACAACCGCCACTGGAGACCCAGTGTACATACATCAATATATAGAACATATAAATCAAAGCAAAGTCCCCTCAAATTAATTTACTTAAACTGTTACAAAGTGAAGCAGATTGAGAATAAAAAGAGGAAAAGAGGAGTGAGTCGTCCTTTTAAGGATGTTTTCTGGTTTGTGCAGGAGCTGAACAAAACCTCAACCTGATGTTCCCTCTGGAATAATATCGACCTGATTCGCTTTTAGGTTCCTTACATGACAGTCGGGATATGAAAATGCAGCTGCTGGTATATTGACCTGAACCTCAGCCGGTCTAATAGTGACCTCATTACCTTCGGTGACCTTTTACCGTTGTTACCGTCAATACAGTCAGTACCGTCGGTGCCGTCGGCGCCGTCGGTGCCGTTAATATTAAGGGAAGAAGAAGTATTTTGGTCATTTTGTTAAAAATCATAAATCCTAATTCTCAGTTTTGATGTTTTTTTCTTTGTGAAAACAAAAAGTTGTCGACAGATATTTCCATTTGTTGACCTCGCTGTGTTTGTTTGTTTGTTCTTCACAGAGACCGTTGGAGTGAACCAACAGTGGGTCGCCTGCAACCTACCCACAATGCAACACTCCCATCTGTCTGCAGGGTTACCGGGTGGGGAGTGGGGGTGGGGGTGGGGGTTTAGATGTTCACTATAATGAATCGATGTGTAAATGATACAAAAGAGAGTTATAAATAACAAATCCACGACTTGAACAAAGTACCAAAACAACAACAACAACAACAACAACAACAACAACAACGCTGACGAATAGGAACCCTCTGAAACAAGTGATGATGTTGATAATTCATATTAATATAATCTGTGGAGAGAATGTATGTTTGTGTTGTATAGATATCACTTTGAACAGATATATAATATAGATCAACTGTTTATTCATGTTTCCTATCGGTCCCCATCCTAAGCCCCTCCCCCCTTGCACCAGCCAATCATAAAGCAGTTCAGACTGGGTTCAGATCAGATCCAAACCAGATTGAAACTACAATCAGATGAATCCCAACCGACCCTGCGTCCGCCGACGTCACCTCCCGGCTGTTTGCTGTTTGTCTTGCTGCATGTAAATATCAACACAGGAAGTGATGTCACTCTGAGGACGCAGTAAACCCAGTCTGGACTTCATGGTGGCGGCAGGTGGAAATTGGATCCAAAATGGCTCCTTGTCATTACAGTTTGCCCTGTTTGTGTGTTTGATTAACGAGCTTTGTTCTGCTGTCTGTTACATTCCTGCGGCGCAAACGTCCGTCTGAAACCAAACCGCCGCTGCTGCTGGTTTCTACTGGTTGCTACTGGTTGCTACTGGTTTCTACTGGTTGCTACTGGTTGCTACTGGTTTCTACTGGTTGCTACTGGTTGCTACTGGTTGCTACTGGTTTCTACTGGTTGCTACTGGTTGCTACTGGTTTCTACTGGTTGCTACTGGTTGCTACTGGTTGCTACTGGTTTCTACTGGTTGCTACTGGTTGCTACTGGTTGCTACTGGTTGCTACTGGTTGCTACTGGTTTCTACTGGTTGCTGGTTTCTGCTGGTTGCTACTGGTTTCTACTGGTTGCTACTGGTTTCTACTGGTTGCTACTGGTTTCTACTGGTTGCTACTGGTTTCTACTGGTTGCTACTGGTTGCTACTGGTTGCTACTGGTTGTTACTGGTTGCTGGTTTCTACTGGTTTGTACTGGTTTCTACTGGTTGTTACTACTTTCTACTGGTTTAGTAGAAGGGATACAAAAACAAGAATTAAAGGATGTTTCCCAAGTTTTAGAAGCTGGTGACTAGTTTAGTTAGTTAGCTAGCTAACAATTCCCCTTCCTAAAAATAATGTTAGCGGCTCCATAAACTACTGAGTCTACTGCTGGATGTTCTCCAGACAATTCAAATAAAAATTGGCAAAATTAAGTTTATTAGCTCTTGCTAGCTGGCTAGGCTACGTTAAACTTGCAGTGGATGAGATGTGAAATAAATCTGTCCAGAAAGCATGAAGACTTTAATCAAGTAAAACAAAATGGACGCCAGGGGAACTAGTCTAGTTAACGGTTTGCATTTTCAGATAACACTTAATGAACGAATCAGCTGTTAGCTTACGTTAGCTGTGCTGCACCAGGAGAACAAAAAGAGAGCCAGCATTAGCAACCTAAGGAAGCTTCCTGTGTGTCCTTAAACTTTAACCTCCTGCTTCCTCAGACGGACGTTTCCGTCGGAGCTCAACTTGCTGTTTATTTGTTTTGGGCTTTCAGCCAATCAGCTGTTTCTGTAAAAGTCTGGAAAGTTTCTGGGTCTGAAAAATAAGAAAAAAACTTGATGCTTCTTCTTCGGTTGTTTTTTTGTTTTTGGGAAAGTGAAGCTGTTTTTAGCGTCGGTATCTTCCTCCGCATGGTGACGTGTTTCTGCTCGTGTTGTACAGTAACTGATGATCAGTGTGATTCTACTTCCTGTTCTCCTGTACAGGTGTGTGTGTGTGTGTGTGTGTGTGTCTGTCCATACCTCTTCTATCTCTCTCTACCACTCACTCTCTTTTCTCTCCTCCTCCTCTTCATCACTTCTTTCCCTTTTATTGTCTCCTCTCTTTCTTTGTTTCTTTCCTTCTTCCTCCTCCTCACTTTCTCCTTTTCAATACTTCCCTTTCTCTACTTCTTTGCTCTAATTCGCTCCTTCTCCTCTTCCTCTTCCTCACCCTCCTCTGGTTCTTCTTCGTGACTCTCCTCTCTGCCTCTGTGATGTAACTTCCCGTGTGATGATCTATTCCAGCATAAGTAACCATGGCGACGGTGTTGACAGTGCTGATGATGAGTGTGTGACTTGTTGCTATGGAGACGCCCCCCCCCCCCGTGTTTATTCAGTGTAAAGTTTCAATAAACTGCGAACTCGTCTGTTTGTCTCTGATTCTGTTTCTAAACAAATAAACAAACATCTTCATCCACAGTAGCTCCTCCTCTCCTCCTCTCTCTCATCCCCTCTCTCTCCCCTCTCCTCCTCTCTCCTTTCTCTCCTCCTCTCCTTCTCTCTCTCCTCTCTTCTCCTCTCTCCTCCTCCCTTCTCTCCTCATCTCCTCTCCTCCTGTCTCTCCTCGTCTTTGTCTTTTCTGCTCCTCCCCCTTCTCTCACTCAATCTCTAATTTTCCTCCTCCCTCTCTCCTTGCATCCTTTCCTCTCTATTTCTCTCACCCCTTCCTCCCTCCATTTCATAGATCCTCCCTCTTTTTTCTTATTGATTCAGTCCCACTCTCCTCCTCTCCTTCGTCACAGCTCCTCCCCCCTCCCTGTCTCTCTCTCTCTCTCTCTCTCTCTCTCTCTCTCTCTCTCCCTCCCTCCGTCATTGTCGGACTCAGAGGAGACAGAGTCAGTCAGTAGCATGTCGTCCATCAGTCTCCTGCTGCTCGGTACCGCTCTCCTCCACAGCGTCCAGGTAAGGACGAGTCCCACTGACTCACAGAGAGAGAGAGTGTGTGTGTGTGTGTGTGTGCTGATTTATCGTCGTGGTGATGTGTCGTCATGGTAACCTGAGAGTGATGCAGAATGATGTCGCTGCTGTTTATCTTCTACCCGTCTGTCAACGCTGTTACATCACAGTGTGTCTGTGTGTGTGTGTGTGTGTGTGTGTGTGTGCTGTTCAATCTGCTCTGGTTTCCATTCATTGTTGATTTATTGATCAGGTTAATCAGCGTGAGACAGTGTGTGTGTGTGTGTGTGTGTGTGTGTATGTGTGTGTGTGTGTATGTGTGTAGGCCGTCGCTGTGACGGGACGAACATTTCATTTTAAGTCCTGTCACCATAGCGACAGGAGGCAGTAACCCACGGTAACAGGGCTGTATATGACACAGGTTACCGTCGGTCTCCTGAGGGCTACTGTGTGTGCAGAAACCTGTTTGTCTGTCCTTGTGAGGACCGATGTGAGTTACACAGTGAGGACATTTTGAGAGACAGTGACATTTAAATTTAATTTGATTTAAACAACATGTGTTCATCTTGCGTCCCACCTCGTTAACTTTAGAAGACTAAATGTCTCCAGATTCTTTTTAACCCTTTACATACACATCTCCAATCATATCAAATTCATCCAATCATTGTGTCTTCCTGTAAAAGTAAATGTGACGTGTGCTTACGTCAGCATGAACTAACTGATTTCAACCAATAATATCCTGACATTCACCCGTCAATCAATCTGCAACTGTTAGTGACACAGAGCTCACTGATTACTGTACAGACACACAACTTTATTAACACTGTACAGACACACAACTTTATTATCACTGTACAAACACAACTTTATTAACACTGTACAGACACAACTTTATTATCACTGTACAAACACAACTTTATTATCACTGTACAAACACACAACTTTATTATCACTGTACAAACACAACTTTATTAACACTGTACAAACACACAACTTTATTATCACTGTACAAACACAACTTTATTAACACTGTACAAACACAACTTTATTATCACTGTACAAACACAACTTTATTATCACTGTACAAACACAACTTTATTATCACTGTACAAACACAACTTTATTATCACTGTACAAACACAACTTTATTATCACTGTACAAACACACAACTTTATTATCACTGTACAAACACAACTTTATTATCACTGTACAGACACACAACTTTATCAGTGATCAATGTTATCTGGTTTTCTCTCTGACGTCCTCCGGCTTGAACACAACCTCAGAGATGGACAGAGGACAGTTTAACGACAGCGGTACCGAGGTGATTTATGTTCTTTCCAGATGGACTTGTTGCAACATTAGCAAACCTCCTCAGTCCTTTATTCCCTGCAGTCAAACTGTCCTCCG